AGTTATCTGGCTGACAATGTCACATAACAATTTGGGCACCACTAAGAAGATGCTGAAAGGGGACACAGGAGTGACCCGTGTCCCAGCCTCTTGTGGGCCCACATTCTCCCCCCCCCCCGCAGAGTGGGCTTCACCCTGTGGAGATCCAAGGGGATAGCCAGGTACAGAATCAGGTGTTTGGACATGACCTCCCCCCGGAGGTCAGCGTTAGGAGAGGTGGCCATTTGTCTTACATACAACAGCTCTGTACATGGCTCTGTCTGGGGTTGTTGCAGAGGTCGGACAGGTCAGCCGGGAAGCGGGACAGGAAGGTCCTGCAGGGCTCACCGGGACTCCCAGACCCAGGACTGCCCACACCAGCCGCCAGGGAGGAGGTGGACACCAGCACCGTTAAGGTAAGACCAAGCCTAAGGGCGGCAGGAGGACATCATGATTTGTTTTTAAAACTTTATGCTTTTAGGGCAGGCAGTTCAGTTTCACAGCAAAATGGAGGGGAGCACAGAGAACCCCCATACAGCCCCCGCACCACAGGCACGGCCTCCCCATCGTCAGCGTCCCCATCGGGTGGGGCATCTGTTACAACTGATGAACCTACAGTGACACGTCATCGTCACCCGGGCCCACAGTTTACGTTAGGTCACTCTTGGTGCTGTGCCTTCCGTGGGTTTGGACAGATGCACAGTGACATGTGTCTACTGTCACAGTGCCGTACAGAGCGTGTCACTGCCCTGAACGCCCTCTCTGCTCCACCTGTTCACCCTCCGCCCCCCACCGCCCAGTCGGTGCTTTTTAAAATCCCGGTGTGTTTGCTGTAGCAGAAGCACTGCCTGCCTGGCTGAATTGCAGCGCGGGCATCAGACGCGCCTGTTGACAGTAAGAAGACTCGCTGCTTCTGGCAGCCACGCCACTGCAGTGAAGGAAAGTTAGAGCATGAACTTCATCTGGCCTTGGGTCCAGTGTGCAGCCCTCAGTTTCTGTGCTCGTGGGTGAAGGGGCAGAGCGCCGTGTTGCACAGACCGGAAAAGCCTGCACCAGCATTGCCTGGTCCTCATATGACCTCATGGAGCGAGCCGTGGCCTCTCCAGAGGAATAGTCCGTACTGGGAAGTGGGCCCCAGCCTCGCACTCTCTCAGGGCTTTCCCATGGCCCAGCGGCCCCCACGCTGGACCTCGCTTAGTGGTCAGGTTCACGGCGCCCCACAAGGCTGCCTGGATGCTGCAGGAAGGACGTGTGACCTACGTTTGTATGACACATAAGATCTTTAGCAGGACTTTAGCAGCAAGGTGGTTTCCTGTTACAGGTGGTGTGCAGGGCTGACGGCTGGTGATTGGCTGATGAAAAAGGGGTCTGGGTCTTGGCAAAGCACAGTGGTGCATGCGTGCTTTACGAGACTCGTCAGCGAGGTATCTTTGTTCTAGGATTCAAATTTACAATCCTTTTTCTTTCAGATGGAAAAATTGTACCTGCGTTATTTGAGAGCCGAGAGCTTTAGAAAAGCTCTGATTTATCAAAAGAAGTATCTTTTATTGTTGATTGGTGGGTTCCAGGACTCCGAACAGGAAACACTCTCCATGATCGCTCATTTAGGGGTGTTTCCGTCCAAAGCAGACAAGAAAATTGCCCCATCCCGTCCTTTCACCAAGTTCCGGACTGCTGTCAGGGTGGTGATTGCGATATCCAGGTAACGGTATCCAGGTAACATGAAGGCGTGGTGGCTTTAGGTGGCTTTAGTCTGACAATCTGCAGTTGTCTTCTCTTTTGAGATGAATGACACTTGAAGCCTTAAAAAAGTACAGATGACACTTGTCTTCAAGAAATTATGTTGTGCCAAAACCTAAAAGGAAAAGATTTTAGGGTCCCTTTTCATGACATAACAGCACCTCCCCGCTTCGGGCCTCTCGGCACGTCTAACCACGTTTCACACCTTCCTCTTCTTCACATTTCCGTTCCCTGTGTTTTAGTCTTATTTGTGTTACAGGAGAGGGGCCAGGTGCATAAGAACGCAGCCCACCATTTTTAAGGCACAGGAACCTTCCAGTCTCCACTGCTGGTGGGGGAGGGGAGGGAGAGTGGCTGCAGGGCTCAGGGGCCCGTTGTCCCCACCACCACCACTGAGTGACCACCTGGCCCCAGCGGGAGGTGTGGCTCGCTCTCTGCAGCCACTTTGTGCACAGGCGTCATGTTGGAGCAGGGATGGGACTCCATGGTGTGACTAATTTTGACAATTTCAAAATTAATAGTGATGAAATCCATTTTGACCTATAATTTAAAATTTTTATGAATTTCTGAAAATGTTTGTCCCACTAAGAACTGTGTGGCTTGCCTGCTCTGACGCCCGCCCACCCCCAGAGGTGCCTTCCCAGACCAAGCTGGTCAGTGCAGGGCCGACTGCACAGAGGGTGGGGGGCCCTCCTCCAGCCTCAGGGCGCCTGGTCCCTCACTTACCCACCTGTGGGTCCCGTGCCAGGAAGGATATTAGAGACTAGATGGGGACAGGTCAACAGACCCAAACCCCGCCTCAGGTCTTCCTGTCAGAGAGGAAGGGTCCTTGCAGCGCCGCCATTTTTAACAGAAAATGCCTTGTAGGAGGGTGGGGCTCAGAGAGGTGCGGTGAGGGGCTGCCTGGGGAGGCGGCCTCTGCAGGGGCCTTGTGTGGGGAACCAGGGCCAAGGTGCCCCGCACCGCCACATTCCCGTCACCCCGCTCACCGGCTATCCTGAGCCCATCAAGTGGCCTTGGTGACCAAAGTGGGCTGGGTGTTGCAGACTGATTTTGGACCAGGGACTGGAAGCCCCCAGCCTGGGTGCCCAGGGATGGGTGGGGCCACACAGGGCGTGGCCCGAGTGGGTGGGGTTGGATGTGGGTGGGGCAGGGCCAGGCCCAAGGGTGGGCGAGGAGGTAGCTAGGGGTCCTGGTGGGTGCATGTGTCACACTGTCCTTAGTGGGTTAGCTGACAAGACCCGCCCAGCTGTCGGTCACATCTGGATTTTCATTGCTTTTTTCACTTCTGTTCAACTCTAGTTTTCAGTGTTCTGTGTCTTTTCTTTTTTTCTAGATTACGTTTTTTGGTTAGGAAATGGCAAGAAGTTGATCGGAAAGGAGCTTTGGTGCCTAGCCGGGTGCCCCACCCAGGTGGGACTGCAGGGACCCACTGACTACTCCGGCACATGTGCCTTCCATGTGTTGTAGCTTTTCACTGACATCCGCTGGTTTTCAGGGCTCGGTGGGGATGGAATAAAGCACAAGAAATGGGTAAATTTAGTCAGTGCAGTTGTTAGAGGCGAGATGGTCTTTAAGGAGAATGGTTTCTATTGGGAACAAACACAAAGAAAACTGCGGTTCATACAGTTAATGAGGAAAAGTGGTTCAGAGAAGCACAGTGATAGAAAAGCACAGAGATGCTAAATGTATCAACTGATAACTTATTTATTTTTTTTAAAGATTTTTATTGGGGAATTGGGGGGATAGGAACAGTGCTGGGGAATTGGGGGAAGGGGAACAGACTAGTTGCTGTCGTTTTTTGTTCTTCAGTCTAGTTGTGGAGGACGTTGCCTCACTGGCCCAAGTTGGCACCATCATTGCGCTCTTCCCAGGCGAGGCAGATCAGTCGCCGTCTTCTGGACGGCCGCTCACTGAGGCTGCTGGCCGCTCACGCTGGCTGCTGGCTACACACGGCAGCCCATGGCAACCCACTGCCACAGGGGCTGCAGCCCACACCGTCGCTGACGACCCACGGCAGCCCAGCTCCAGGTTGAGCTGCTGTTCAGCATCTTAGCTGTGGAGGGCAGTGTCACTGGCCCTCATCTGTGTGATCCGGACCGGGGCCCTCTGGCTTCCCAAGCCAGTTCTTAACCATCGCGCCACTCGGCCAGCCCAACTGATAACTTATTTTTAACAAAAACGTCCTTTTTATTCTCAAGTGGAGTTCTTTGGGCTGCTGCCCCGTTGCTCACTGTCGCTCAGTCACATCTGTGTCTGAGGTTCTCTGTCACCATCCCCATGCTGGTGGGGGAGTCACACAGGGGCGGCCACCTGGGGGAGGACAGATGACACCACAGCGTGCCAGTCAACTTTGGTTTCCACGTGTTAATGTTACTTCTTGAAATCAAAACACCTCCTTAGCCCTCAGGAAGGTTTGCCCCCTCCACCGTGCCTGGTGGTCTCCAGAGTTCCTGCCCCTGCCACCCAAGCCCACTCCCCAGCTGGGTGGAAGAGAGTCCACCGCCGGCACCCATGCCGCGGGCTCCCATCAGCAACTGTGCACCTGTCCAGGGCGCTGCCCAGGTGGATGGGCCGGGCTATGAGGTGATCAGAAGTCAGGTTCCTTCTAGAGTTTTTCAAAATGTAATTTTTATAACTTGGGTACTTCAACATTTTGAAATTGCCACGCAGACTCTTAAAGCTTATGAATTTTAAATTCTGGTAGATGGGCCTTCCTACTAAAATGCACTTATCTTTTTCCTAATCCCTTGGGCGTGAAATAATTCTGGGGGAAGGATTCCCCGTGCCACAGGAACAGCAGCCTCCACCCAAAACCAGTGAATCCCCGCCAACCCGGGACGTGTCCTCCGGCCACACTCAGGACCCTGTGCCAAAAGCCTCCCCACGTCGGAGAGAAAGGTGAGCTGTGGTGCTCCCAGGCTGCTTCTCCGCTGTGATGGGCAGACGGGCCTGGGTGGCAACCATCAGTAGAGGTCCACAGACAAGTCGCCACCCTCGGCACTTGGGCCGAGGTGGGAGGGTGCCTAAGTGGCAACCATCAGTAGAGGTCCACAGACAAGTCGCCACCCTCAGCACTTGGGCCGAGGTGGGAGGGTGCCTAGGCGTGTGGAAGCCCCACGCACAGGCATGGGTGGCTTTACTCAGTCTCGTTTGTGGGATTTGGGTTTTGTGCACACCTGATGTATCTTTATACTTAACCACTCTTTTGGCAACTGAGATGTTCCAGTGACAGCGTTAAATATACGCTATTTGGGAAAACACCTTTTCAGTTAAAAAAAGAAGAGGACTTCTGGTAGAATAATTTAGTTTAAAAGATAAAGCAAAAAAGGTTTCCCTAGTGACTGGTGGTTTGAGCTGTGACTGTATGTAATTGTCACGTTCTGAGGCCCTGCGTGCAGAGGGACGTAATGAGAGATGCCTGTTGTGAGAGGGTGTGGTGAATCTTAATGACCTTCATCACAATTTATACCATTTTCCTGATCCGGTGATGTCTCACCCATGAGTCACTGATGAAGGATGGGATTTCCACCTTCACTTCTCTAGGTTGCAAATAATCCTATTAAAGGTGATAACCCTATTAACATGCTAGAATGAGGCATTCTGGGTTATGAGTCCTTTAATGAATTGTTTCAGCTATGACTTTTCCAGTATTTGGAACATGCCCTTCAAGTGTATAGCAAGTTCAGTTTGTGTCTCTGGGCATTTGCACACGCACATCAAGAACCTGTAGGTGTGTCCTGTCTTAGAATCTGTGTGTGCTCCCCGTTCTGAAATGAGCACACTCCACTCTCCTCCGAGCAAAACAGGTGGTCCTGTGTGCTGTCAGGTAGCAGGGTGAGCACTCGCATTGGCTCTTTAGCTCCATGGCCCCTGGGTGACGGTGACACCTGCACTGTAGGAGGTAATGATGCCTGGTGTAACCGTCCTGTCACGCACCCTCTACCTCTACTGACGAGGTCCCACCTGCATATATGGTTCCTCGCAGGGATGTATTTGAGAGTCTGGCTTTGGCCAGGCCCCTGAGCAAGGCAGGGGGACACCAGTGTGTGTCATGTGGGACCGGCAGGAACTCTGGTGGCTGTGGCGCCCAGTGCCCTGTTGGTGATACTCACTGGGCAACGAGTGGTGACCAGGGCCTCTTCTCTGTGGGTGACAAGAACATGAGGATGACATACGAGTCCCCGGGACCCAGCGGTGTGGGGTGAGGCGTGCAATGCATAATCCACGGAGATCTGGTGACCAAAATCACACGTCATAGTTTTACTCACTGTTACTCTGAGACGTTGCATAAAAGTTGGTTCTAAAGCACCAGGTACCACCTTTTCTCTCGCGGTGAAGGAAAGACACAAGGGAAACAGCCATCGTGTCCCCATCCCCTCGGCCCGTGTGTCAGTCAGCGGGACACAGAGCACTTCCTGTCTCTGCAGCCATGTGGTGTGTTCATCTCCTGTTCTGTTTGTTTCTTGGTTTGCTTGTTTGAAGATCCAGTCCATCCCCAAATTCGAGATCAGAAAGACCCCAGACTGCTTCTGAAGATCCGGAACGTTCCCTGACGGAATATATTCACCACTTAGAAATGATCCAGCAGAGACTGGGGGGGGTGCCTCCAGGTAATAAAAGGGTTCTCTGAGTATTTTCTAAAATACCAGAACTGTGCCCTGGAATGTAAAGTAATGTAGGCAGGGCTGCTGGTGTTCCGTGTCAGTGAGCAGCTGGCACGAGCAGCAGCAGCAGGAAGGCTGTAAGTGGACACACCTCACGCCACGATCACGACTCAGCAGGTGTCGGAGTCAGTGGCTGACCGGCCGGGCCATTGGGCCTTTCTCGTATCCTGGGGGACGCAACAACGGTGTCTTAGCCAGGATGCAGCTTGTCTAGTGCTGTTTAATCATCATAGTTTAAACCAGTGTATACTTTAATTCATATTTTTACCAGAAGTAAGATTAATTCAGTGGTAGGCAGTATTTCAACATTGCGAAATTCTTCTTAAAAGACAGGTGAAGCCTTCTAACATACTGTCCATCATTTTTATTTATATTCAGATCCCACTTCCAAGAAATCCTGCCGCCAGAAGACTAAACAGTGAATAAAATCTCCCTGGCTCTTACCTGTGACAGTTCTGTCTGAGGAAAACATTTGTTCTTCCTTCGTCTACGGAAAGCTGTGGCCCGCCATGCTGAGCGGTGCCCAGTGTCCTCATGTGCCCGAGACGCCAGTCCGAGTGCCACGACCGCAGTGTTCTCACGCTGGTGCATTGCTGCAAAGCCAGATGGAGTATTTCCTGTGTAATCGCAGTACCTTACGTAGTCCCTGTCATCCCCTTACCTTCACAAGGGACGGGCATCTGCCCACCTCCCAGAAGGGTAGGTAAGCAGAGAACGGCTCCCTGTTTGTTTTCCTAAAGTATACAGATGAAACTTGGTGTAAAACAAAATGACAGAATATAATTAAAGCTCTATTTTATTTGTGAGTAGCTCTTGTGTTGTTTTTTACTTTTATCCTGTTTGCTTTTGTCCCTGAGGGAAAAAAACCCACAAAACAACAGAATTTATGTTAAAACTCCTGTAAGTAAAAAACTTTCAGTGGAACTGAAAGCCCTGGTCACCTAGCTTTGTTTTACGTGGTTCCTTCTTTTCTTTCTGGAAGAGTCTGCCTCCGCGTTACATCTCCCCATTACAGTCCTTTACATGTCACTCACACTCGCTTTCCCAGGCAGCGAAACCTAGCCACTGCCCTTTACCCAGAGTCGCACAGCTACACTTACAAGCACCTCTGTTTCCTGGACGTCCGAACGTGGCATTTATTCTTCTGGGCCGCAGTTTGATTATAACACAACTTCTCAATCCCTTATTTCAGTGACAGGTTTTCCCCTCAACCCGCAGCACTGGCCCGTGTCTGCACGTGCTATTTGCTGACACTGCTGTCAGGTCCCCGTGAGCCTCCCCACTCTTCCCAGCATGGGTGCCGTTTGCCCGGTGTTGCTACTGCCGAGATCCTGGCCAAAGTTGGCGCCTTGTGCAGAGCAGACAGGCTGAGCCCACCGGGAAGCACATGGGCCAATGGCCGGCACGGCACCCTCCCACAGGCATTGAGTTACCGGGATGTAACTGGGCCTGCGCCATTGAGGCAAACTCCTTCACCCTCTCCCCGAGGCTGCACACGTGACCTTCAGGACTGATTTGTACAGCTCATGCACCCTATCATGTCATCCACAGTGGGCGAGCTTGGGGGGGGAGGGCGGTGTCAGGGTGTGTGCTGGACTAGGAAACACTACATGGTCACTAGTCCTGCCTGCTGACCCTCAGCCAGCACCTGGGCTGGTCGGGTGACCCAAACTTGCCTTTCCCAAAAATATGAGACCTTAACAGTTTTGCTTTTAGAGAACTTTCTTTTACAACTGAACTTGGAACACTGAGCCTCAGGAAGTGTCCAGTGAAGACAGTAGATTACAGGACACGTTTCTTGTCCTCGCTGTGCCAGCCACCAGTCTCCCGGCGGTGATTGGGATCAATTGCACCAGCCAACACAGTAACCTGTCCCTGCTAGCTGGTTCAGGTGATAGACCCAGCCACTCGTTCAAAGGGACCATTGTCACCGGGTGGAAGCTGTCCGCCCTTGGGACAGCAGAGCCCACAGTCAGGTTGGGAAGCCAGACTTCTTTCCAGAGGGGCCGGCCCTGTGCTCACCCGCGGGGTTCCAGTGGGAATGGCACCATGAGCGAGTCTTCAGTGGGGACCCTTCCCAGTACCCAGAGGCGCTCCTCCCGGGTGGGGACATGTGAGCCACATGGGCAGGTGCCAAAGGCTCAAGGTTCTCTGGGAACTCAAAACCTTTGAGGGTACCTACCCAGATATCATCTTCAACCCGTGTGTCATGGGCCCAGCTTTTCCCAACCAGGGCCCCAAATTTAGCATAACTGCCCTGACTGGGCATTCACCATCTCTGAGGTATTCCAGGGCAGGGCCCCTGTCTTGTCTAAATGTAGGAGATGAGGGTTTCTTTACATGGAACCAAAGAGATCCGTGGCTTTCAAGTAAGGACCTGTTGCCAGCCATCAGTTGTGCACTATTCTGAAGGGCATCAGTAGTAAGGACTGGCCACCCAACACCATTATCCTTCCTCACAGCCTCTACGTCCATCGTGTATAAAAGGCCTAGCACATCACCCACCCACTGGTAGATCATTGCATTTCACTTAAGTGGGTCACCTCGTATGTCAACACTGCTGAAAAACTGACATTCCATCACCACCTGTGCTCAGGGCTGAGTGCCCACCCACACGTGGAGTGAGCAGCCTCACACCCCAGTGTACCACCTGCTTTCACACTCCTGGCACCTGGTGCAGGACGGTTTCTGGAGAAGCAGATGCTGAGATGGCGTTTGAGGGACAAGGTATTTGTCTGGCACCGACACCTGGGAAAGGAGGGCAGGACGCAGGACTGGGCAGAGAAATGTGTGCCGCCCAGCAGAGCTTTGGCCAGGCTGGTGTGCTGGGGAGCAGGCACTGCTCATCACAGGTGTTCTATGCTGGGCCAAACGGCCAGGTTCTATGCTCCTGCCTCACTGTCACCTGATGTGGACTCCACAAGATGGCTCTCCGCGGACGGATGCGTGAACTCAACATTCAGTGCACTCCGCCCCTGCACCATGTAGATACAGTGTGTATGTGGGTCTCTCCACTCAGCTCCACCAAGCCCCCAGGCTGCTAACGTCTCATCCCTTCTGTCCTCCCCTTCACAAGATCACCGCGTGGTCTGAAATGGCTGCAGGAGCCGCTTCTGGTCAATACTACACCTTCCAAGGCTGCTTTGAAAAGCAAATGAGTTAGAACCGGCTGCGTAGTGCAGTTGGTTCAGAGTGCGAGCACTGAGCAACAGCGTTGCCGGTTTGATTCCCATATGGGTCAGTGAGCTGCACCTGAGCTTGTGGCAGGGAGCCCTAGGCAAAGGCTCTCTCAGGCCACGTGACCACCAAGAATTCTGCCCTGTAGCAGAGAGCTTTAGAGAAAGGCTTTCCCTGACCGCATGGCCACCAAGACTTCCGCGTTTAACATTTCCTAATTCTACCTCATCCAGGAGCCAGTCAGAAACTAACATAGTGTCACATACTGTAATAAGGAGTCTTAGCTACTAACCCGGAAACCTCAGGGTATATAGCCCTGAGTCCTATCCGGATTGGGGCTCAGTCTCTGGATGTGAATCCACTGAGCCGGTGCTGGCATCAATAAAAGTTGCTTCCCGAGCCTTGGTGTCCCATCTCTCTGTCCGATCCTGCAACACAATTGGGGGCTTGTACGGGATACGGAGACAGCGATATTTTCCACCTCCCTTGTCCCTGAGGCCTGGCTCCCCCGGACCAAAGGGTACGAGAACTCTATTGGCACCAGCGGACCCTTGTCCGTCAGTGGGGACGTCTCCCCTGCTGGCTGGGGACCGACCCGAGAGCACAACGGAACCCGGAAGGCTATGGGAACCAGTTTGGGAGCGCCGCCTGACCAGACAGGTAAGGAACCAGGTTCCTTAAGGCAGCCTATCCATCAGCAGACAGAAGGGGAGACTGATAACCTCCCAGAGTCACCCGAGTATCTCAATTTCTGAGAGAAACCATGACTCCCAGAACAGGGCAGCGGGCGGAGAATGAATCTGTCTGAGTTCGTATGAATGAGATGCAGTTTGTCTGCGAAGCGAGTGCTGAGTCCTGATCCGCGGGTCCGTGGCGAACCACATATGGCTTAGGGTGGTATCGCTAAATTGTCTTGTACGGTTTAGTGATCCAAGTCGGGGGTTTATACTGACCCACCAATTGCTAAGAAGCTCCTGAAATATCCCCGCGAGGGGAGCGGCCGGAGACGGACAAAGCGAATCTCTAAGTGGTTGTGTGTTGTAACGATTTCAGGTGGTTGCCATGGGTGGGCAACAGAGTACCCAGACTCCATTAGGGTGTATGTTAAAGAATTTTAAGAAGGGGTTCTTGGGGATTATGGCACTAAGATGACCCCCCCAAAAGCTCCGTACCTTCTGTGAAATTGATCGGCTGTCATTCAGGGTTGAATGGCCAACAGAGGGAAGTTTTGACAGGGACCTCACTGGGAGAGTCCACCTTATCATTACGGGCAGCCCCAGTCACCCCGACCAGTTCCCCTGTATCAACTTGTGGGAGGCCATTGTACATACTCGGCCCCCTTGGTTGAGGTCCTGTTTGGAAAATCAGAGTAGGGTTCTTTTAGCCCAAGCTATGGTCCCCTCCCGGAATCCACTTAAGGACAAAACAAAAGGACAAAAGCCAGTCTTGCCTTCAGACTTGAAAGAGATCCCACCACCCTATTCGCCTATCTACCTGCCACTTCCATGGGCCCCTGAGCCGCCAGCCCAGCCCCAGTGCTGCCCTTGCTGGCCCCACCATCTCCACCCGCTACCCCTTTTCCAGACCCTCCTGCTACGCCGCCGCCTCCTCCAGTCCTGACCCCATATGGGTCCACAGATGGGCGGTCACAGACAAAGAGCCCTGAGGCTGACGCTCTCCAGTTACCCCTACGGGAAACCAGAGGCCCCATCTACTATGATCAGGAAGGCCAGATTCAGGGAGGCCGATGCATGTTTGTGTACCAGCCCTTCTCAACCACCGATCTCTTGAATTGGAAAAACCATACCCCATCATATAATGAGAAGCTCCAGGCTTTGACCTTCAGTCAATCATTCAAACGCATCGGCCCACCTCGGCTGATTGTCGCCAACTCCTCTTAACCTGCTTCAACACTGAGGAGCCCTGGTGGGTCACTGAGGGAGCCATAAAGTGGCTGGAGGAGCATGCCCCACCCGGGACCTTAAACATTCAGATGTATGCCCAGACCATTTCCCTGAGGAGAGGGCCCCAATGACAACCGGGACTTCCAGATGCTGGAACAGTATCAAGAAGCCCTTATAGGAGGCCTAAAGGATGGTACCAAAAAAGCCATCAATATGAACAAGATCTCTGAAGTCCTCCAGGGACCTGAGGAAAGCCCAAGCCAATTTTATGAAAGACTCTGTGAAACGTTCCATCTCTACACTCTCTTTGACCCTGAGGCCCTTGACAATCAGTGGATGGTCAATACTGCTTTTGTCGGGCAGTCCCAGGGCGACATCTGGCGAAAACTTCAGAAACTGGATGGATTTGGTGGCATGAATACCAGCCAGCTCCTTGAAGTGGTGACCAAAGTCTATGTCAATCGTGACCAAGAAGCTCATTGAGAAGCAGATCGGAAGATGAAAAAAAGGTAGACTTGCTCACTGCTGCACTTGTCGAGCAGGCTGGGAACCCAGGGCGAAATGTCATTCCAAACCCGGGACCACCTCAGCGAGGGTGACGTCAAGGGGGACCACCCACCAGGAGACCAAGGCTGGGTCAAGACCAATGTGCTTACTGCCACCAACGAGGCCACTTGAAAAATGAATGTCCTCAGCGGTTGGGGAGAATGCCAACAAGTCCAAACCCCCGGGGGCCAGGTTGAGTCACTCACGGCCGTTACCAGCCACCCCATCAGCCACCAAATCCTTCTGGAGACGACTTCATCAGGCTCGCTGGTATGGAAGAATACGGAGAAGAGTAGGCCAGACCGGGCTCCATCCAGCTAGGCCCCCAGGAGCCTATAGTCCGAATGTTAATTGAAGACCAACCCACTGACTTTATGGTCGACACGGGAGCTGAACATTCCATTGTAACACGGCCCATAGGCCCCCTCTCCTCAAAACAGGTCACCATCACGGGGGCCACAGGAGGACGGGTCCGTCGGCCCTTTTTGCAGCCTTGACAATGCACCCTTAGAGGCTGAGAAATTACTCATCAGTTCCTCTACCTGCCAGATTGCCGTGTAGCATTATTGGGAAGAGACCTACTAGGAAAACTCCAGGCTCAAATCACCTTTAACCACAGTGGCAATGCTGAGCTAACATTGGGCAAATCAGGGACTAAGATTATGTCCCTCACCATACCTTGGGAGGAAGAATGGCGACTCTTTGGTCTTGTAGAAGAGGTCCGAGAGGGACCTGAACTCCCCTTCTTGATACCGGGAGTTTGGGCAGAAGACAACCCACTAGGCCTGGCATGACATGCGGCCCCAGTAGTTGCGGAGCTAAAACCTGGGGCGGAACTGGTGCGCCACAAGCAATATTACATTCCCCACAACGCACAAGTAGGCATCCAAAAACATTTGGACAAGCTCCTAAAATATGGGATTCTTTGTCCCTGCCAGTCACCTTGGAACACGCCCCTGCTTCCAGTCCACAAGCCGGGGACTGAAGATTACCGTCCAGTGCAGGACCTGAGGGCAGTAACCCAAGCAACGGTCACTCTACACCCAGTTGTTCCCAATCCATATACTCTTCTGAGCCTCATCCCAGCTGAAGCGACCCACTTCACCTGTCTGGACCTCAAGGACGCCTTCTTCTGTATTCATATGGCCCCACAGAGCCAGCCACTCTTTGCCTTCCAGTGGGAAAACCCTGAAAGCGGGACAAAGGCCAGCTGACATGGACAAGGCTACCACAGGGCTTCAAGAACTCCCCAGCCATTTTCAGGGCCGCCTTAGCTTTGGACCTAAAGCCTTTTCCAGCCAGTCAAACCGGCTGCATACTGCTCCAATATTTAGACGACCTCTTGCTAGCCGGGAAGAACTATGATAATTGCATGCAGGGTACCTATCACATCCTTAAACTCTTATGGAAAGCGGGCTACAAAGTCTCCAGGAAAAAGGCTCAGATGCGCCAGGACAAAGTCAAATATCTTGGTTTCCTCCTGTCACAAGGACAACGCCAGCTCAGCCCAGAAAGGAAACAGGTGGTATGTACCATCCCGGTCCCCACCACTCGGATGCAGGTCTGCGAATTCTTAGGGGCGGCAGGCTTCTGTAGGATCTGGATCCCCAACTTCTCCACTACGGCTAAACCCCTTTACGAAGCCACAAAGGGGGGTGAATGTGAACCTTTTCTGTGGCAGTCTCAACAAAAGGCCTTCGATGAGATTAAACAGGCTCTCACTCATGCCCCTGGCCTAGGACTCCCGGACATCACCAAGCCTTTCTTCCTCTACGTACATGAACGTCTGGGAACGGCAGTAGGGGTCCTTACCCAACGGCTAGGGGATTGGCACCAGCCGGTAGCCTACCTCTCAAAACAACTCGACTCAGTGGCATTAGGATGGCCACCCTGCCTGAGGGCGCTCGCAGCAATGGTCCTCCTCATGTCTGAGGCTAACAAGCTGACCCTGGGTCAGAAATTAACTGTCCAAGCTCCACACTCGGTCTGAGCCCTATTAGATCATAAGGGAGGGACACTATTGGCTTACCAACTCTTGGACTGCCAAGTACCAAGGGCTACTGTGTGAAAACCCAAGGGTCCGCCTTGAGATAGTATAAACCTTAAACCCGGCCACTTTACTGCCTGTAGGGCCTGGGCCCCCAGACAATGACTGCATCGAAGTCATGGACGAAGTGCTCTCCAGTAGGCGGCAGGACCTGACTGACCAACCTCTTACGGACCCTGATGTAGAATACTATACTGATGGTAGCAGCTACGTCAAGGGAAATAGACGGTTGGCTGGATACGCTGTGGTGACTCTACATACCAACCACCACTGAAGCGAGACCCCTCCTACAGGGGACCTTGGCAGAAAGGTAGAGCTCGTCGCCCTGACTCGGGCCCTTCAGCTGGCAGCTGGGGCAAGAGTCAATATTTATACCGACTCTAAGTATGCCTTCACTACCCTCCATGTTCATGGGGCTTTACATGAGGAAAAGGGATTAATTAATTCAGGAGGGAAGGAGATCACATATGGACAAGAGATTCTAGATCTTCTAGAAGCAGTATGGGCACCCAAAAAGGTGACAGTCGTACACTGCAGGGGCCACCAAAAGGGCGACACCATCGCAGCCCGGGGAAATCGTAAGGCGGACCAAGCAGCCAAGTTAGCTGCAGCTGAAGAAAACCCCGAACTTCCAACATTAACAGCCTCCCTCTTTCCCAGCCATTTGGCCGAATGGGATCCCAAATATTCTCACCAAGAAGAGGCCTGGTTCAAGACTGAAGGGGAAAGCCGTCTCCGTAACGGATGATGGGAATTTCGAGACGGCCGTATTGTCATACCAGGAACCCTAGCCCTGGCTTTCGTCAAGCAATTCCATCAACGGACCCACTTCGGTCAGACCACCCTAGAAACGACCCTCAGTAGGTACTTCTACGTACCTCGACTCTCCAGTATCACGCGAGTAGTCTGTGAACAATGCCTTGTTTGTGCTCACAACAACCCACGACAAGGGCCAACCCTACCCCCTGGGGTCCAGTATACCGTGGTTTCACTGAGCTGCCACGCTCCAGTGGTCTTAAATATCTTACTATTTGTATGCACCTACTCGGGGTGGGTGGAAGCCTTCCCCACCCGGACAGAAAAGGCACGGGAAGTCACCTGGCTATTACTGCAGGAAATAATCCCTCGCTTTGGGCTGCCACTCTCAATAGGCTCTGACAACGGCCCCACCTTTGTGGCCCAAATAATCCAGCTCTTGGCCAAGCTCCTCTGCATCACTTGGAAGCTGCACACAGCCTACCGCCCACAGAGCTCAGGACAAGTAGAACGCATGAATCGGACCCTCAAGTCCCACCTAAAAAAACTGTGCCAGGAGACACACCTCCTTCCAATAGTGATCCTGAGGATACACTCAGCTCCTACCAAGAAGACGGGTCTTTCCCCTCATGAAGTCATATATGGGAGGCCACCTCTGCTCATTAGAGGCCTCTGAGGGGCCCTTAAAGAAATAGGAGACCTAACCTTAAGACAACAGCTTGAGGCGTTAGGATCTACCCTACAGAACCTCAACCAATGGGTACAGGAGAGACTCCCCATTCGCTTAACAACTGAAGTTCATCCCTTTAAGCCCGGGGATTCGGTTTGGGTTAAGGAATGGAAACTCCAGCCCTTAAAACCCCTGTGGAGGGGCCCCTTTACTGTCATTTTGTCTACCCCCACGGCAGTTAAGGTTGCAGAGATCGCCCTATGGATACACCACAGCAGATTAAAACCTGCAGC